TTTCCCTTTCTTACCCTGCCCCCAAATTAGTAGAAGCATATGGTGGGAAGTTTTAAAAGAGGAAGTCTCTAAATCTTGCCTTAACCCCCTATACTCTACCGTCATTTTTTCCTAAGGAGAGAGAAATAAATGTCTATTCACTTATGGAGCACTAAAGACATTCCAAAGAAACAATTCCACTCAAGTCTAGCTAACTGAATCTGTGTGTTGACTGGTGCTACTTACCTGAGCATGGCTGACTCAGTGGTTGCTGAATTACTGAAAAAACAACAGCACAAGTTAGCTGTATCCCTGGAGTTTCCCATCCAATTTATTTTTAATTTAAATATTTTTATTGGGTTTTGTACATTTCATATACTACATCTTAATCAAATTTAAACCTCTTCCCACCACCATAGTGTCCCACCACCAGATTTCAGGTATTCTGTCATATACATTAATTCCTGTCCAGTCAAGCATTTTTATCCAGGTGTCGTTCAGTGCAATTCCATCCACTGGAGTTTAGTCAGCCTATCTAGAGCCAATCCCTTAAAGGAGATCTATTCACTCTCACCCTACAGTAATCATTTCCTAATAGTTCCATGCCTAGGGTTGGGGCCTGCTGCCCATTTCTCCTGTTCTATGAAGATTTTTGTCTGATTGAATTTGCATGGGTCTTGTGCATGCTGACACCATTGCTGCAAGTACATATGAGCAAGTTCCCAGAGGCCTGGAAGACTGTTTCCTTATGTTCATTCACCAACCCTGGCTCTTACCGTCTTTCAGTCCCCTCTTCTACAATGGTCCCTGATCTGTGGGTGGGTGAGGTTTAATATAGGAGTCCCATGCAGGGACTCTCTTACTCTCTGAAATGGTCAGTTGTGATCTTCTGTGTGCATTGCATAACGTTGTATGAGGAAATTTCACTGGTGAGAGTTGAGAGATGTATTAGTATTATCTCTACAACCTGTTCCACTATGCTCCAAGAGCCTTAGGTGTAGAGGTTCCACTACAGTTGTGTCACTTAGAGCTGGGTATCTCTCAGACATATATTCTTTCTGTTTGATCACTTGTGGAACTCTCTAATAGCCTCCATCTGCTACTGCTGCTGCAAAAATAGTTTCTTTGATTAGTGATGTATGGTACATTTGTCTGTAAATATAAGGTTTTATATTTAGCATGCAGTAAGTAATTTCATTTGTCTAGAGACGTGATAGAGATAGCGCTTTCTCTAGGTTCAATGACCTCTCCAGCCAAATGTATTTGGCTCCATTTACAGTGCCGCCCATGAGTTTCCTCACAATGAGAGGGCTTTAAGTTCAATTAGATAGCTGTCGATTACCCTCTAGATAATAGCCACTACAGCACCAACAGAGGTAAGTTTCTGTGCCAGTCATTGTGAGTATTAGGCTTTGGAGCTGGACTGGACCATTGATTGCTCTTCTCCATTAGCAGTTTCCATAGTATCTTCTAGAACTATGAGAGCTAGTCTTCATGAAGAAGGCTTCCAGGTCAGTTACAACTCCAAGTCTGTGTCCAAAGTATCTCCTGTCTTCAGCAGCAGGGTTTTACCTTCATGTTATGGGAGATAATCAAGGGGTGTGTCAATAGCTTGTGCTACTTTCAGAGTCTTTTGGACTATTTGGACCAGTGATGTGAAGAGAGGTTTCTCCTGTCAGGCACTGTGTTCCTTCTTATATAGTCTTCAGGTAGAGACCTATACTAATGTTCAGATGTTGCATGTGTTTTTCAGGGGACCTTTAATACATTTCCCTCTGTCTCTCTATTCTCCTTAAGTTTTATTTATCTCTCTTCTCTCTTTCTCCCTGTCTAAACTCCCTCCTTCCTCCCCAGTTTAGTACCCCCCATTTCCCCCTTGATAATACCTTTATAAATACTCCTATTATCCCCCCTCTCTTGAGTTCCTTCTTTGCCTTTACCCTCAAGTTTCTTTGTGTGTCCTTTCATTCTCCGTTCCCAGTAGAATATCCTCATTTCCTCCCGATCCCTTTTCATAACATCTGTTCCCTACCATTCCTTTCTTTCAGGCTCTTTCTTTCCCTTTACCTTAGTGTTTCCTTTCCATTTTCCTGGCTCCTGCTGTTATATCAAGATTTACACTCACATGTAAGGGATTGGCGCTGCAATTTGCAAATGAAGAATAACATATATCTCTTGTTTTTCTGAGTCTGTATTCGTTCACTTAGTAAAACATTTTCTAGTTTCATCCATTTACCTGCAAATTTCAAAATTCCATCTTTCCTTATCGCTGAGTGTAAATGTACCACATTTTCATTTTCTATTCATAAGGACTTGAACAGAGAGTTCTCAAATAAAGAAATAAAAATGACTAAGAAACACCTTAAAAACTGGTCAACATCCTTAGTAGTTAGAGAAATGCAGATCAAAACCATTTTCATATTCTGCTTCTTTTACCCCAGTCAGACTGGTTAAGATCAAGAGAACAAAAGATATCAAATGCTAGTGAGGATGTAGAGAAAGGGGCACACTCATTCACTGATGGTGGGAATACAAACTCATGCAACCACTATGGAAAGCAGAGTGGAGTACTCTTTGAAAACTAAAAATGAATCTACCATATGATTCAGTTATACCACTCCTTGGAATATACCCAAAGAACTCATCCTACAGTAGACACACCTGTACAGCCATGTTTATTGCTGCTCTTTTCACAATAGTTAAGAAATGGAAACAACCTGAATGTCTCTCAGCTTCCTGTCCAATTTGCAGGCAGATCCGCTGAAGAGAGATAGCCTCCTCTCCCCAGTAATTGTTTAATGTGCATATAACCTTAAGGAGTATCCTTGTGAATCTTAGTACTTGCTCAGCTTCCTGGACCTTGAAAATTTAGTGAACTTCCTGAGTTTTTGTGAGCCTTCCTCTTTCCAGATAAGAATGTTTCAATTCAGGAGAAAGAGCTACATGCTGACCATACTTTTTTTCTATACTGATTCATTCATTTTCAACTTTGCTGCCTCAGTTCCTCCCTCATGTTACACAGATATTAAACATAACATGTGACACTTTCTGTCATTGTGTATTCAATAGAAGACATACACCTACTAATCTAACCCTTAAACACTTTGTATCATTCCTATCACTTGCCCCATAAGCTCTGTATACATCTCACAGCTATGCACTTACAATGCGTATGTGTATGTGTGTGTGTGTGGGGGGGTGATTCATGCCTCTAAAATAGATTCCCTTTAAAATTCAGTATGTAGGTTATCTATTTTAGGCCATTCCAATGAAACATTACTCAGTGAAGTTCTTCATTCTTTTTCCTTACAGTAACGAAGGAAACCACAACAGGTACACATGTGTTGTAGGCTACTTCTGAGCACCAAATATAATATCTTTATAATTAAAAATAAGAAATTTCATATTTCTCAATTTTATTTTTGGTAAATGTTCTAACAATATCTCTTTCATGTAAGTGTTGTGGTAATTAGCACACTGCTTGTCCCAGAATAATTAGAAAAGACAAACTTTCATCGGATAACTGCAAACATTTTTTTTTTTTAATCATTAAGATGCTTATACATTTTTAAGGTTTGTTTATTTGGTTTCATTATTTCTGCACAGAACTTCTGTTCAAGAAGGAGCCTTAAATTAATTCTTTGGAGGGACATACCTCCAGATCATACAGATTCTCCAACTATATTATACTTTTTTTGCTTGACATCATGCCATTTAAAATTCTATTTATAACCAAAATTTCTGTGTGAGAACTGATCCAATCCTCTGAATTAATTACAAAAAGT